TTGGTGTTTATCAGTTTCACATTGCACTTGTGAAACTAGATTTAGGATCAGGAGTCCCAACTGTGAGGCCTTCTTTTCAAACCCTTTCCGAAAGGCGGGGGCCCAGAAAAAGGCAAGTCCACAGACTTTGTTTTTTTTCTTCTCTTTTTGGCTGTGTGTATCACTTTTAATATATATCTCTCTCTCTCTAAAAATATTTTGCTCTCCTTTCTCTCTACCTTTCTACCTCAAAACAAGATCAAAACCCTTGATCTTCTCCCAACCATTTGAATTTCACCATAGCTCCTTCATCAAAGATAAAGAACTCCTCAAGAGCTACATTGTGTACGGTGCAGATTGAGTTTGGGCATCCTTGATTTCTAGGGTTTCATCTTCCTATCTTCATCAAGCCTTGAGGTAGGGACTTTCTTGAGTTATATATATGTTTTGCAATGTGGATGTTGATTTAAAGGCTTTATTGTAGTTATTATGTTGATTTTGATTTTGTGACCCAATATGTAGAGATTTTCAAAAGTGGGTTTTAAAAATCTCAAATCCTTCTAAGATAGCATCTTGAGAGTTGAAATTATTTTAGGCAGGGAAAATGGTGTGATTTTAAGGGTCCTTTTCAAGTGTTTGGTGTGTGTTTGTGTGTGTGTGTGGTTTGCAAAGAAGAAAAACCTAGAGATTGGGGTTTTTGGAAAATATGTGGAAATTTGTAGATTTTCTTGGGTTAGATGAAGGGTGAGTGAGAATTGTGTATTATTGTTTACAAATATAATTTAACTCCTTGATGTATGAGGAATTGGAGGTCATACTTGAATTTCTTGACAAATGCATATGTAGATGTGAATCGATCCATTGCTGAGTCCCATGAAAGATGAAAATTGTGACCTTTGGGAAATTGATGTTCAAGAATATTGCATGTAGTCTTGAAATGACTAAAATGTAAGGATGATACAAGACGTGGGAAGGTTGCTACATGTTGTAAGGTTTAATTGAACATGTAGTATTCTTCTGGATTAATGTTAAGGGAAGGAAATTGGGAAATGTGGTTGTCATTGTATTATTGTTGAGAAACTTCAAAATGGAAGGATGTTATGAAGTATTGATCATAATTGCATTACACATTCATTTAATTGATTATTTTTCATTTTAAGTTGAGTTTGGAAATAATTACATTGAGAAAGGAATATTTTGAAATGAGAACTATTGAAATATTTTGAGGTAAATACGTTGGTAAGTCTGGATAGGAGGTGTAGATGAACTTGATTACGTTGGCCTAAGTGTCTGGGGTGAAAAACCAAAAACACGCGTGAAGGAGGTATCACTTCTCTTCCGGTTAGCAACCAGTAAAGTGGGGTTATTGGTAGTGCTTGTTGAGCTTTCTTGCAGACACCAACCTAGGGATTACCCGAGTCATATTTATCACCCCTATTGAATAAAATTGTAAGTTTTGGAATTGTTGAGATTTCAATTGTTGTTGAACACCATGATATTTTAAAAGAGCATGTAAATAATTTTCTCTTTAATTTGCATTGCATGGCATTTGCATTTAACATGGGAAATTTGCATAACTATTTAATGTAAGGATTTGCTACTGGGCTTGATGCTCACCTCTATGGGATTTTGGTGCAGGGAAAGATGTGGTGATCCCGCCGAGTTGAGGGCGTGGATATGTTTTATGAAGAGTAGATGACTCTATTTTTGTTGTGAATTTATTTGCTAGCCAAGGGCTTAAATGTACAGGTTCATGAAACCATTTCTGTGTAACCGGGCTGAAGCCTTGGAATATTAAGCCCCTAAGGGCATTTTACCTACTTTTGGGATGTAATGCTCTACATGCTATAGATTCATGTGTTTTCATACCGTTGAATGTATAATTCGCATATGGAACTTTTGTATAATCCTTGTTGACCAATGATGTTAAGTTTGGAGCATTGCTATTATTATTATGCGGATAGTGGATGATGTGTTAAATTTAGGTTGAATTATTTTTGGGCGTTACATTGGATGTTCAAAGGAAGTGAGATTGATGAGAATGTTGTTGAGAATATTGGAAACTATTGAGATTCCTTTTAGAAATTGTTTAATTTAAAAATATTGAACTTTTGAGAAAGATGAAAAATATTTATCATGTTGTGGTATTAAGAAATGTTGAAAGAAACTTATGTTAATTTTTTTTTTTTTTTATTTTTTTGTTTTTTTTTTTTTTTTTTGCATTATGCATTTCCTTTTCCACATGGGATAGTTCCCTTATGAAGCACAAAAGTTTCATAGCAAGGCAAATGGGGAACAACCAGAAGATATTTTATAGTTGAAACTGGTCTTTTTTAGGAGATTCATTGACTTGATGTTCCAAGTTCACAAAAGAATTCAGGTAAGAAAACCTTGCCAGTATTGAATTGTTAGAAATTTTGTATGTCTACATTAGACAAGAATTGGGGCCAGGCCTTGGGGTAGTGGTGTGGTTGCTCCATTTTGACCTGGTCTTATGGGTTTGAAACACGGAAACAATCTCTCTGCATGCAGGGCTAAGGCAGCATCATACATCTAACCTTCCTCAGATCCTGTAGTGATGAGAGCCTCATTCACTGGGTTGCCCTTGTTTGTGCATTAGACAATAAACACACTTCTTAATTTTGTTCTTTTTCTTTATTTTTTCTTTTTTTCCTAAAAAAATAATCTGAACTTTAGAAATGAAGGTGCCAAGAGAACAAAGATGTAGTCGAAACTGCTATTTCTCATGTTGTAAGGATGATATTATAATTTTGAAAACAATTGAGCCATGTTTGTTTGGGTGGATATGGCCTTGGGATTGGATTAATAGTCAAACAAAATGCACAATCCAGTGTTTGGTTAAGAAAATTGAGGTCTGAACTAAGAGTCCATTCAGTCATAGTATCCCCCATATATTGAATCCAAACGTGGGACAATCCAAAATCGAGGACTAAGAATAGGTTTGGACTAATTTGGTTAAATTGCAAAATTGATAGGATTTTCTTAATTCCTCCTCATATTGATAATCCTAGTCCTAGGAATGCTAATCTCATCTAATTCAATCTGCCTATGCAAACATGACCTTGGTGTAGAGGGCATGTTTCAAATTGAATAATGAATTTGGGTTTGCTTTTGTTAATTAAACTTCCAGTAACATTTTCATATTTACTGGGGAGGGAATCATACTTGCATATGTATACATACATACATACATATATATATATATATATCAATATCTGTTAGATCCACCAAAGAAGAATATATCTGAAATAGGATATTGCATTGCGTCATCATGCAGGTCTGCACATAGAGGATGTTTCTATATTGTCATCATATGGAGGTAGTGATGGTTTTTGTGATATTGCTCGATTAATTAGATTTTCTAAAATTGGAAAGGCATTCTTAAATATACCCATTTTATCCTGATAAAATTTCTAGTTTCTTTGATAATATGAAGATATTATTGTTCTGAGCTTGCATTATCTCCAAATAAAAAATTGGTTGCGCACTCGTGAGGTTTTGAAATTTCTGAATTACTCAGGCAACAGAATTAGAAATTGAAGCATATCCACTGTTAGATGAACTCACGTCGAAGATCAGCACCTTAAACTTGGAACGTGTGCGTCGACTGAAAAGTAGACTTGTTGCCTTAACTCGACGAGTTCAAAAGGTTTTGTGTTTTCCTAATTGATTTTACTATTTTGTGCACACAAATGGTTGCAGATCTTTGATTAATATATTATTTTGTCTCTCCATTTTCATTCTTCTTCATATAGGTTAGGGATGAGATAGAGCAGCTGATGGATGATGATGGAGATATGGCCGAAATGTATCTCACTGAAAAAAAAATGCGGATGGAATCATCATTCTACGGCGACCAAGCTCTAATGGGATACCGATCAACTGACGGTGTGCAGTCTGCTTCAGCTCCAGTTTCTCCCGTTTCTTCACCCCCCGAGAGTAGGAAGCTCGAGAAAAGCTTGAGTACTGCTAGGAGCCGTCACGAGAGCACACGAAGTAGTACTGAAAGTGCTACAGAGAGTATTGCAGAACTGGAGATGTTGTTGGAGGCCTACTTTGTTGTCATTGACAGCACCCTCAACAAGCTCACATCGGTATCTACATTGATTCATTATGCTTTGTCTTTTCACATTCCTTTAACTAAGGTGGAAATGTTTTAATAATCTGTTTGTTTCCTTCATTTCAGCTACGGGAGTACATTGATGACACAGAAGATTTCATCAACATTCAGCTGGTAAGAATCCCTGGCTCATCTTAAAAATAACCTGGTTATATTTAGAGTGGATCATGTATGTGCAATACTTCTGTAAACTTAAATAAAGAGGAAGTTCTGCCAGTTAGTATGTCGGAAATCAGTAGATGATTCTATAACTAGAAGTTGATTATTACGAATGTTAATATTCAATTTGATTGGGAGGTTCAGTGCCTTTCGAAAGCTTTCTCCTCATTAGGCTAGGTTTGACATCCCCTAAAAAAGTCAAAAAGTCACTATCCTATTTAAGTCGCATCATCTTATTTAAGCCACATCACTTCAAACTCAACTCATATTTCATAAAAAGTCAAAAAGTGCACTTATTTAAAACAATCCAAACAACCCCTTAGATTCTCACTCCTGCATTAGGAGCTAAGAAGCACGAACACAGGCAAGCGATAAGATACGGACACGGCAACACCACAATTTTTAAAAAATGTAGAGCACGTCACGTGCAGGATACGCATAAAATATATAGTTTTAATTATTTTTTGTATGTTCATATATATATATATATATGAATATATTATTCAAAGATAATAAAAATAATGCAACATCATACTAATTTTCATAAATCTACATTATCTTTCTTTTAGCTTTGCATCTTAGGTTACTTTGTTCAAACTTATAATTGTTTCATGTGTGTCCACGTGATGGACATGTGTTTCCCAAGAGTCCAAAGATTGTCTGGGTCTAAAAAAGTCAAAAAATATTAATACATATTTTGATGAGTGTCCACCTTCTTAGAAGTGTCCGGGCTTCATAGATCAGGAGTTGAGAGTATTAGACTGTCCCTATTACTTGAAAGGAAGTCTTATTGGACTTGTTCGGGATTTCATTCTTCTTAGTGGCTACCCCTCTTAATTTTGAGTAGCCCAGATCACTGGGCAAAAGGTCTATCAAGCACTTGCCTGCTGCTCCTGCCTCTAGCTTGGCAGACAGCGCGCTCATTATGTAAACTTAAAATCTCCAGGTGGTTAATACCCTTTGAGTTTCAAGTTAAAGATGCAGTTAAAATTGAGCTTTTTGAATGATTGTAACAATAACATTGTAGTATTTGGTGTTGTTTCAGGCAGAAGGCCACATCTGAACTTTGAAATTTGATTTTGAATTTTTTTTCCCAGGATAATGTTCGAAACCAGCTTATACAATTCGAGCTGCTACTGACAACTGCAACATTTGTGGTTGCGATATTTGGCGTGGTAGCGGGGATATTTGGCATGAATTTTCCAATACCATTGTTTGATGACGAGGGTGCGTTCAAGTGGGTGCTAGTAATAACAGGAGTAGCTGGAATCGTCATATTTTGTTCATTTTTGTGGTTTTTCAAGTACCGAAGATTGATGCCGCTGTAGATGATAGTGAAGCAAATTGCAATTACTTGAAGCAAAAAAATGCTATCGAGTATTATTAATGTCATCATTTACTGTTGTGTTCTTTATTGAAAATTGAAAAAATATAAGAAATGAAAATATGGCTCTCTCTAAGAGCAATTCTTTCTATTTTTTAGAGGTCCATAATTTGGTTGTATAGATCCTTCTTGGTTGACTTCATTTTTATTCTTTAAAAAAACACTAGTCGTTGACCTGGCCATGCATGGGATATTGGCACTGATTTTTTGGGAAAATTATAGACTATTCTTGAAATATCATATGTCTGTATTTCTTAACTAATCATTATTTATTTTGTCTTTTCATATTTTTCAATCACCTAATACAATATTTTACTTACTTACTTTTTTCACCAATCACAATGTACTCTTTAGGCAAAAGCTAAAAAAGTTAACTTTTTGACTTTTTAGTTTTTTTAACCAAAAAAGTCCGTTTTTTTGCCAAAAAAATACCAAAAAAGTCAAAAAGTCAAATTTTTATCAACTTTTCAAAACGTCCCAATATTATAGAACATGTCTATAATTCGGAATTACTAAAAAATTATCTGATTTTTTGGCCATCACATTTTGCTATTTTGCTTGTTATAAATACAAAAAATTATTTTAAGTATAGTTGTATAAAGTTACTAATTAGTTTAAAGCTCAAATAAATTGATATCAGGACTTTGTAGGAATTGTATAAAGTTATTAAAAAAATAATAGTTTAATTGCCAAATAGTTCAATTACACATGATTTTATAATTTTATAAGATATTCAAAAAGAAAAACAGACAGGGAGTGTTTTGGGGAGAGCATCCAAGTTTGCAGGTTAAATTTTTTTTAAGTCTCATAGCTTGAATTCTACATTCGTTTTTAACAAAATTAATATATGTATATTTGTTTTTTCGAGATTTTTCAAACAAAATCAATATTGAACATGAAATTTCAAAAAAAAAAACAAAAAACAAAAAACAAAAACAAACAAACAAAAAAGAGTGAATAGATTAATTTTTCAATCAATCAAAACAGCAAAATAATAATAATAAAAAATAAGCCCTCAAAACTGCCTTCAGATGGATAGATCTCCAAAAAATAGACTGAATAAAAAAATAATTCATCCAAAACATATTATCTACGCAAAGTTATGACCTATTGAAATTTTAACACTAAATTTTTTTTTCGTACAACATACCTATCTGTCTAAATTATTTTATCTATTTGTCTCCATATTTGGACATATATGTCCGAATTGTGTCCCAATATTGTATCTATCTGTCCAATATCTATCCCAAATTTTTTAGCCATCTTTCCAAATTTTATTTTATGTATTTATCCACATATTTGAATCTATTTGTCCTCATACTTTTAACACTTGTGTCCCCATATTTTTAACCTATTTCTCTAAATTATTTTAATCTATATGTTCTGGTATTTTTATTTATTTGTCCAAATTATTTTAACTTATTTTTCCCTATAATTTAGATAAATAGATACCTGAAATTATACCCCCCAAAAAAAATCGTTTATGATGCATCCACGAAATAAATTTTTTTAACTAAAATATGAAAAAAAAATTACAAAAAATACAATAAACATAAACAAAAATTCACACAGATTTTTGTCGGATTTTTTTGTTTTTGTTTTCAGTGATTTTTTAAAATATTTTTAGTCAATTTGTTTTATTTTTAAGATACATCTTTATTAAGTACATCTAAAAAGTACAAAAAATTATTAAAATATCAAAAATATTCAATAAAAATAAATAAAAACTCATCTAAATATAATTTTAAAAAATTAAACCAAACATACACTTGATCTTTCCTATTGTTCTCCTTTTCTCATAGGCAATTGTAAACATAAACATAAAATTGGTTTTATCTTTGGGTGAAATATTAAATTAATAAAATATTCAAATAACTGTTGTCAGAAAAAATAATGGCTGATATATTGGTTTTGTTCTTTGGGTCTAAAATACTAAAAAACGAAAAATATATTTTGAACTATAGAACAAAAGATATATGGAGTTTTATGCTATTTTAATTTTCAATGTTTAAATTATATTAATTTAATAAAAATATTTTAATTTGGTTCTTAACCTAACTTCGCAATGTCATTAAAATAAAAAATAACACAAATCACATATTTTAAAGATTAAAAGACTAATTTTTTTTTGTCAACGTCTTTATGATAAGTTGGAGTGTAGCTGCACCTTATGGTGTAGTGAGAAAAAATTAGGAGCTCGAACTGATGGATCTGCAGCGACCTTCTGTACACTTACATTAATTTTCCTAACAAATCTAACTTCCTAAAATGTTGACAAAAAAAGAAGAAGAAGAGTAATCTATTTCAAGTGAGTTTTTACATTAATGACATGGGAACACGTATTTTTAAATCAATGGTATAAATTTTAAAATGAGTTTTCATATTTCTGACTTTGATGGTGTTTAATGACGGAATTAGGTTGCGAGATCAAATTAGAACACTTTACATATTATAAATTAAATTGACATAATTTAAATATTTTTTTGATAATTCGACATAATGTAAATATTATGTATTAAAATGATATAAACCACATACTTTGGGATCTAAAAATATAATTAATTCTATAAATTTTTTAAAATTTTATTATATCATGTAATTAAAAACAAAACTGACATCTTTTAAAAGAAAACCTGTCGAACTATAATCAAACACATCATAAAAAGTTGACTCCTAGTTTCATTAGGAAATCCTAAACATACTTTTACTCAAATTAAACACATCATAAAAAGTTGACTCCTAATTTCATTAGGAAATCCTAAAATACTTTTACTCAAATTCTATTTGTCTTTTCAATTACAAGTTAGGAGTGGGAAAAATAAATCTATTTAAGTTGGTCACATTGTATAGACTTCATTCGTTTTTTTTTTTGGCTTTGCTAGTAACCATCAACTTTTTGTTGTTCTCTTAACAATTTTGGAGCTGTCATGGGAAAAGGTAAAATTCATGAAAATTTCATTGTTTGTTCTAATTACTATCCTAGCTAAATATATCCTTTATTTTTTCAAATCTCTTTTAATCTCTTTCTCGAATCGCTCTCAATCAAACAATGTAGTAACAAGTTTGAGAATGAAAATCTCAAGACATGTTTGTATAACTAGAAGTATAATAACAATAATAATTTAAAGATAGAAAATCTCGGATCATGTAGGTATGTCTTCACATTTATATTTTATCATTGCAAGATTGTTGTATGCCGATATATTTGCATGTTTATGGTAATTGTGTGTACCACAAAGGTTGAGACCGAAGGTTGGAAAATAACAGAAAAGTAATTCAAGTATTGAATTAATTAAGTATTCAAATAACTGTTGTGGAAAATTAATGGTTGATATTTTGGTTTGGTCACATTTTATAGACTTCATTCGTTTTTTTTGTGTGCGCTAGTAATCATCAACTTTTTGTTGTTCTGTTAACAATTTTGGAGCTGTCATGGGAAGAGTAAAATTCATGAAAATTTAATTGTTTGTTCTAATTACTATCCTAGCTAAATATATCCTTTATTTTTTCAAATCTCCTTTAATCTCTATCTCAAATCACTCTCAATCAAACAATGTAGTAGCAATTTTGAGATATGAAAATCTCAAGACATATTTGTATAACTAAAAGTACAATAATAATAATAATAATTTAAAGATAGAAAATCTCGGGTCATTTAGGTATGTCTTCATATTTAAATTTTATCATTGTAAGATTGTTGTGTGCCGATATATTTGCATGTTTATGGTAAATGTGTGTAGATTGGAAAATAATATAAAACCACAAAGGTTGAGACCGAAGATTGGAAAATAAAAGAAAAGTAATTCAAGTATTGAATTAATTAAGTATTCGAATAACTGATGTGGAAAATTAATGGTTGATATTTTGGTTTTGTGACCTCCGCCAATTAGGTTGCGTAAAAAAATTGAACAAATCAGAAATCAGTTCGATCCAGAATGAATCGAACAATTTGGTTTGATTTTGTCAATGGGCAATTTGGTCTTAATTTTTTTTTATTAAAAAAAAAAAAAATCGCACTTCCTATTTATGGAAATCAGACCGTATATATATAATTTGTTATTTATAGTAAATACTCAAATATTTTATAAGTATCATATATATATATATATTGTAATTCTCTACTCTTGCAAACGTGTTGTATAGTGGTAGAATTAATTCCAAACAATCATAGTCGGTTTGATTTAGTTTTAAGATTTTTATGGTTTGATTTAGTTTCAAATTTATGTAGTAGTAATTAATGATTCAGTCTTTGATTTACTCTTAAACCTAACTAATCCAAACTAATTAATGTATGGATAGCGAACTGGGGTGTCAATTGTAAATATGGAATCTTTTTGTCTTTTTTAGTTTTTAAATTTTATCAAATTATGTGATTAGAAAAATATATTAAAAACATTTTTCAGATAGAAATCCTTCGTTGTGCCAGATACAAGTTATTTCAAAATAGAATTCTCAAATTCAAATAGTTTTAAATTTATTTTTCTAATTAATATTTAAAAAAATATTACCCATAAATCTTATAACTAGAGCTAAATGATATATATTATATACATATAAATATATTTAAAAAATATAAACAGGGCAAGACAAGTTAGAACAGGGTGGAGGAAGCAATACCCATCCCTACCCCACTTTCTCATAACGGACGGGGAAAACCCGTATGGGGCGAAACTGGGGATGCGTAGCCGAAACGAAACAGGAAAAAATGGTTATCTCTAGTTCTAGTATACCATTCATCTAGATCTTAGCATTATAGGCAGTCAAGGTGACCAAATTTGAACACTAAGGCCTTGTTTGAGAACGTACTATTTTAGTAATTTTTTAGTTAAAACAGTAAGTAAAAAACCTGATATGTTTAAGATGATATTTTTATTTTTTATGAAAAAATGTGTAAAGAATAGATAGAAAAGAAAATTTTTGATTTTTTAATATAATTTGTTAATTTTTTAATTTTTTAGTGACTTTAATTTTTAGATTAAAACTGAATGTTGCCAATAGTAATTACATAACAGTATTCTAGTTTTTTTGGTTAAGTAAAGATTGAGATTTGAATGCTTGGTTGGTTGGTTTGCAGAAAATAAACCAAAGAGAGATGAAGAAGCCAAAGCAGCAGCTGCAGCAGCCATGGTCATGCACGATCGTATCCCCCAATTGCCAGATTCCATTGTTCATAACATCCTCTCTTTGCTCCCGCCCAAAGATGCAGCTCGCACCTCTATCTTGTCCAAGGCATGCCACCACCTATACTCCACCTCCCCATTCTTGGCATTCGAAGTAGGTTTCGAGAACCCTGATTACATAATCACTCCAAACGAGTATAAAAAGAAGTTGGATTTAGTCGACAAGTGCCTGCAACGCCACCTCCTGCAAAACCCTAACATGCGTGCATTCAAGATGAGCATTTCCTTCCCTTACACAAAATCACTAGTCACTTGTTTACACAAGTGGGTGACCATTGCGCTTGCCAGAAACATTGATGAGCTTAATCTGGATGTCACTTCAACAACCCAGTTCTATATTCTACCTATGAGTGTCCCGATTGCCAATACGCTTAAAGTAGTCTCATTATCCTACTGTAAATTGCAAAACAACTGCCTCGGAAAACTTCCTCAGCTACAGAAGTTGTCCCTTCACAGAGTTTACATCGAAGAAGACAATCAATTCTTTGAAAACCTAGACTTTCATTGTCCTTCTATTGAGGACCTCAAACTTAGTCTGTGTCAGGGGCTGAACAGGCTTCACTTAGGCTCAACTCTGCTTCGATTGAAGAATGTCCACCTAGATGCTGCCTTTGATCTCAAGAGTATCGAAATCAAAGCACCTAATATTCATAGATTTTCGTTTTGCGGACAAGGATTTTCATCATTCCAGCATAATTTGTCAGCTTGTACAGGTTTACAAACATTAGAGTTAAGAGAAACTTTGATCACTGACCAGGCATTTCAAGAACTTATGACACAGCTACCAAGCCTTGAGGTTTTGGGATTGCATTCTTGTAGCATATTGAATAGAATCAAGATTTCTAGTCAAAAGCTCAGTCGGCTTGTCGTGCATCAATGCCTTGGATTGTCAGTCACTGAGCTTGACACTCCAAATCTGCTCTCAATTCACTATGCTGGATACAAAATGCCATTCATTTTCATGAATACACCTCATCTTCGCAATGTTGATATTGAATTCTGGCTTCAAAGTCTTCAACTTAGTAATTTGGATAAATTGAAGAATTTTCTTCTCCAGTCAAGTCATTCAAAGGATTTTAAATTGGTTATGTTTTACCACCACAATTCCAAGGTATGTTCACTGTAATTTTTCATTGCTCAATTTATTTGTGTCTATTTATCCGCCTCATTTATTCTATTTTTTTTTTTTATGCAGCCTATATTTATTCAAAAAAAGCTCAGTGATAACCTCTCCCCACTATATCATCTCAAGGATTTCAATCCCATAGTATATATTACTTCAAGGACAAATGCAGATTTCATACAATACTTGTGTGAAGTTCAATCCGATTCTCTTATATGTGGTATGTCACCATGACAAACTTGAGGTATTGAAGTTTCTATAATATACTCCCGAATTTTTTTTAATATATTTCCACTTCTTAAAGCATAATATCTATTTTTGCTCTTTTAACCTGAATTACAGCTCTTACGTGAGAACATGAAGAAGACGATGAAAAGAGAAAGCTAGGGGTTGGCAGTGTCTCATGGATGGCTTTGGGATTTTCACTTGTGAATGAGCGATGGATGGGATTGATTATGCCCGGAAATCATTTTTTAAGACATTCAATTGGTTTACCAGACAACTACAACATTAAATTGGAATGTTGATGATCGACGATCATTAATAAGTTTCACTTATGACGTTTAATTGCTATGTTCGAGCTTTAGAATTATTGTCAGCCAATGGTTTGCTCATTTGATACTTCTCCCTTCTTAATTACTTCAAACCTTGGGATTTTTTATGTAATTGTCCCAAAACTGGGGTTCGATAACTATGGTGTGGGTTGATTGTAGTAATCTCTGTTTAGTTAATACTTCTAATTGAATGTGTCCGTACTTTCAGAATGGCCTAGGTCAGAGAAGATTTAGAAATCCAAAGTTCTTACAAGCAGCTACGGATTATGCCAAGTGGCATTCGATTGATCCTTCAATCATGATGTAACCATTCTAATCCAGAAGAAAAGTAGGGTTTAAATTGCAATGTAAACTCTCTTAGCACTTTCTAGTTTTCATCCAAAACATTAGTTTCTCAAATTACAAGGCAAAAAGCATAAGTTTGTCCCTCATAGGCCCTTGTACTACTCTTTATGCATAAATAGAAGCTCGTCCTGTGCTAACCCAAAATGAAAAGGAAAAGAAAGGTACTAAGGGTGCCCAAATGTCAGACAACTTCCATACTCCGGTATATGGTCAATGCAGTAAAACTAATGCTTACCATAGAAATCTTCCGTAAATCATTTTGCTGAAGACGAGACCGAAGAAAGTCTTTCACTCCGTGCTTTGTCAGCTTTTTCCAAGTAATCTTGATGGGATTGATGTTTTGACCCTACAAAAGAAATAGAAATTTGTCACATAAGTTTACATTGAGACAGTAGTTACAAAAATAAAAATATATTGAGACAACACATTATTCATTTCTAATTGTTTTCCCCTCTTGTTTGATGAATAAACACTTTCAGAAAACAAAGATGAGGGCATGCATCAGCTAAAGCACGTGCAAAAGAATGCAGGCAATAGAAGTTGTTCCTGAGTATATTAATTGATCAATTCTTGAACATAAAGGAGTCGAGATTATTATGTTTTTTGAGTTTACTGATATTTCTTGTATTGTAAACTTGAAGGAAATTTTCTCTTTTTTTAAGTAAACTAAATGAACAACAAAAGTTGTGTCAGACAATATAAATTTTTGTTACTCGTCAAAAACAACAGGCTGTTGAATGCACTTAACCTACACACTTTAAGTTCTAAAAATAAAAGATTACTTTTAAATTGTTGTATCATGACTGACATAACAATTTTGATGTTTTGGTTGCATAGAAATGCTTCCTTATGATATTGAGGCAAAATGAAGCTACTTGAAAACTTGAAAGTGCTACAAAAAACAAACGTTGTGAAAAACTGATAAAGTTCAAATTCTTTCAATATGTAACTGTTACTAATTTTTTACTTCTGATGTCAAAACTGAAATTATGGTCCGATTTCAATTGATCCGATGGTTGAACACAAATCTTTTACCCTTTTCTAAATACGTAAGAGAACTTACTAATAAAAATGCCAAAAAGCAAGGCGATGTTCCTATCTATGCTCAACATATACAATACCGCTATACTAAATGAAAGGGCACCCAAAATATGTAGATAATTGACAGCACATCCATGGAGGGATTCACACTCCCTCTGACTCAACTATTAAGCAGAGCCAAAACAAGACTCTTCACCCTATAATATTGGCTTCTCCGTTCCTCCAACAGATCTACCTGTTTGAGCAAATATGCACCAAATCAAGCATAAAACAGACCCAAGCCAAGCCTACTTTGCATTTCTAGAGTGTCCCTAATCTCCAACTACCAAACAAATCCTGAAAAGATCTAGGCATTACCCTCAAGGTCCCAAACAAATATAAAGAGGAAAGCACATAATTTACTCCACACTTTAAGAGGAAAGCACATAATTTCCTCCACACTTTACATAGAGAAGTAAAGGATCCACCAGCTCCCCTAACTCCTTATGCATACAACACCAATTAGAGATAATCTTCCCCTGTTTCTAGAAGTGGTCCACCATCAAAATCTTCCCACAAGATACCATCCAAGTGAACAAGGCAACCTTAGAAAGGGCTTTGGCTTTCTAAACCTCTCCCCAGGGAAAATATTGTCCCCAAATATACCCAAGAGCTAAGCAAAATAGCAGCTAAGATTGTCCAATCAGGTCAAGTTTACAGGTCCTCAGAATACAAAACCCTTCTATGACGAGTGTAGTGGATAATCCATGTCAGAGAGGCCAAGTTAACGCCAGTAACAAAGGCAATAGAACAATTTGTATTTTCATTTTTCCATCAATGAAAACAGACCAAAAACAGCTAGAGATAGTATATGCTTGCCTATTTTTATTCTTCCACAAATTGCCAATTGAAATGGTCCCTAACACGTGAGCTCATTTAAATTAGGCAGAAGATAATAGTGGATCCTGGATTTTTAACCAGATCTTATGCAAATCTTCCTGATAGAGCATTGATAAAACATTGTGAAAATTTAACCAATAATTAATGCCCTTGAAGGCATTCCCAATGGTCAGCTTCAATTGTAGCATAAAAATAACATGTAGAAAATTTTAAGTCACTCTAAAATTTGTGACTCAAAAGTGTTACAGTTTGGGTACATGAGCTGGTTCATGGAAGTCAGATGTCACTCCACATTTAATTTGCATGTGAGCGATTTTGGGTGACTGGCTCACAGCTGTAAGAAAGTCTTTACTTGTGGACATGGAACGGTGTTAATACAAACATATGGTATGCAAAATGTATCCTATTTAATGCTACATATTGTATCTTTGAGATTTATAATACTAGGTATGACAAAATGTGTACTCTGCAATGGACCTGTGGTCCAAAACTAGTGCAACTGAAGTTCAAACATAGTTGTCAAATTGGAATTCGTATTGTGAATCAAAATGGCTTCGTACTGAATTGTGAATCGAATTGAATCGTGAATCGTAAAGATTCGGTCACTTTTTTTAAAATTACTAAAAAACATATATCTACACATTTAGATGTTAAATATATCTTATGAATATGAAATAATTAGACTTAAATCAATGAAAATGTTATTTTGAATGATAATTATGTAGTTTAATAGGTAAGAAATAAACAAAGGTTCTAATGTAAGATCACCATTTTACCTTTTTCTTTTTTAGATATTTCTTATCAACCATTCTTAATAAAGATAATAACTAAATAGACAAACTATCAATTTTCAAAATAACAATTAATGATATTGATATTTGGATAATAAACATACATACTTGTCTAAGTAACAGTGAGCAAATAATAAGAAAGAATTATTTAGAATCTTTTATTTTAAAGCCTGAAACATTTTAAAAAGTATAATTGACCTCACACATGTAATATTCAATTATATTCAATTTAATAAAATAGCAATAGATAATACATAGTGTAACTTTAATCTCAAACATCTTTGGAAGATATATTATGTTTTTTAGGAAGAAAAAATGAGGAGAAAGGTTAAAAATATGTTGGATCTGACTGAATCTGATTGGATCCTATTAAAATCTCCATGATCATTAAAATAATAACAAATCATGTATATATGTTGCTTATCTTGGTATTAAACGTTATTAGAAGTTATATTATGTCATTTTCACTAAAAAAATGGAAAAAAAAAAAGTCAAAAATATGCCGGATACAATAATTTCAAAAATTGCATAAATCATAAAAAGTGAATCGAATAGTGAATCGATTGCGAATCGTGCGATTCACTAGAGATTTACTTCAAAAATAGATTCACTTAGATTCGTATTGATTTTGCAAAAATTGCTAATCGGATTATGAATCGAATCGTGAATCATAAAATTCTGATAACAGAGCTCTCAAATAAATATATATGAATGTATATATTTTTATTTCTTATTTTTTGGGAAGGTGGGGGAAGAAAATATTGGAAAGTAAATTTCTTCTAATACCACTTAAGGGGGCTGCATTTTTACTTTCGTCCTAATACCACTTAGAAATATTATCACTCATTCGTCCTTGAAACTTAAAATTTGTTTTCCTATTTTATTCACTGTACAAAAGGACTAGCTTGTTATCACTCGCAAAGAATTTCAAGACTCTCGATGATTATACCCTCATCTACACAACTCACTTTAAAAGTAAGTCACACGATGGAACAAAAATAGGAAGCCAGGATTGATCATGGTACAGTGGTGGCCGCCAAATAGTTATCATTATATGCCACTGGGCTAGTAATTACATTCAATTCTTTGCATTGCAACTGCAGCACCCAACTACCTTGAATTTGATGTGAATGAAATTTTATTATTATTATTATTTATAAAAAAAAAAAAAAGAAGATAATAAATACAGAAGAAACCCGCCCAACTTTGAAATGGGACTTGGTAGTTCTATAATCTTTTGACTGCTCTCTATAATTATCAACCTACCATTATCTACCAAGTTGTCTATGCAAAATCATGTCCATATGCGGGAATCCATGACCTTACCTCCCAGACAAGTAAACTAGTAAAAGAATATCAATACTTGTGAGTGTTAAATTTCATCTGCCTTGTATCGCTCGTGTATAAAATACATACATGCGTGTGTGTAGATAAAGAATTGCAGGTTGCTAGATCATTACAAATAGAACAATAAAGGCCATCTCACCAGACCAAACCAATTTCCTGACACAACATATCATAGCCAACGTTACCTTAAAAATCCCCCTAGTCCAACAAGTCCGATTAATTTATCAACAAACCGCATCATGCTCCACATATACCAATGAGGGCCTTTTCAATATTCAATAACTGCAAATTCAAAACTGTGGATTATAGTATATTCTTGACTAGGTCTTACAATCCTATGCAAAACCCCTCAACCTCAATCAAATTGATGTCCAAGTCAAAGCCACAAAGATCTTCGCGTTCCCAGTACAAATCATATATCTGTCCATTAACTAAAAATAGCATTATTTTTTTTTTTTTAAAAAAAATGGTAATTAAGCAAAAGATTGATAGTCAGCAGTGTGCATCTAAGTCTCACATTCCTATGCAAAACCCCTCAACCTCAATCAAATTGATGTCCAAGTCAAAGCCACAAAGATCTTGGTGTTCCCTAGTACAAAATCATATATCCGTCCATTAACTAAAAATAGCATTTTTTAAAAATATTTTGGCAATTAAGCAAAAGATTGATTGTCAGTAGCGTGCACGATTGCTTTGAGGACGCGGGTTAGTGTTGATCAAGAAATGCATCTACATAGAGCCCAGGTTGTTTTCTCTCTCTCTCTCTCTTTTTCTTTTTCTTTTTTTTTTTTTTTTTTTTTTTTCACCCACTGGCATTTTCCCTGAACTTAAAATTACCTTCTACCTTGTTGACCTAACCACATTTATCACACCATCTATAGATCTTCCCCAAATCACAAGTTGCTTGCTAGTACAAGATTCCCACTATAATGCATACCAATAAAACAACATGGTTCTCATCTGACTGACCTCATTAAACCCCTTCACCTCCAATTGTTTATGGAAAAGAAAAGATGATAATTCCAAAATCTATGCTTCTGCCATTTGGATTTCCAAACGATACAAAACACCCCCTTGAAGATGTAATTTTTTTCGTTCCAGATCCAAAAAAGCGCACACAAACAAAAAAAATCAGAACTTTAACATTTTTTTTTTCTTTAGATTTTCTGAGAAACCAAACAGATAGGGAATCAGGCGAATAATTAACCTATTAGAATATAGAAACAGAGATACATCCATGTGTGTATGTACATGTCGATCGAGAGAGACAGAGAGAGAGAGATATGAACCTCGGTTCATGAGAAACCAGGGGACAGCAAAGACGGCGCTAATGATGAGAATCCCTGCAAAAACGTGCTTCTTATCACCACTGTATAGATAATGTTCCATTTTTGACCTAAACCCTCCTCCTCCTGTTGCTGCTGCTGCTGCTCCTCCGTTGCCACCATTGTTGGCCTTCGTTTCGCTTCCCATTTTGTGAGTTGCTCTTCTTGTTCACACCCAAACAAAACCCTCTCTCTCTCTCTCTCTCACTCCTTGATTGATTTTTGAGCTAAAACCCTCGTATAGTTCTTTCAATTTACTGTTTTGCAAATGACTATTCAGCACTGAGGTCCACACCACGCGTTGGGTATGGAATCCAGATCCCCCGTCGCCTTTTCCTGTCGCCTCCAAAACGACGTCGTTTTGAGGGCAAATTTTCAAAAAAAAAAAACCCAGAGAAGAGGGAGGAAGAGGGAGGAAGGAGAGGAAGAGGGAGAGGGAGGAAGGAGGGAGGAGGGAGGAGGAGGAGGAGAAGGCTGCGAGCTCGCCGTTCTCGTCCCTTGCCGCCGTCGCAACCGTCGCAGGTCGCAGCAGCTCCACCTCGTAGCAGCACCTGCGACCACCGTCGCCTCCGCCTCCGACCCGTCTCCACCTCCTCCTCCTCCTCCCCTGTATTTATGGCCCCTCCAGTCCGGCCCTTCCCCTCCTCCTCCTCCCTCCCTCTTCCTCTCCTTCCTCCCTCCCTCTTCTGTGTTTTTTTTTTTAAAAATTCGCCCCCAAAACGACGTCGTTTTGGGGGCGACAGGAAAGGGCGATCGACGATCCATTCCCGTTGGGTATGGCCCATATCATATATGGGGATGCTTCAGCAACTGCTGCGCATACGTACGGTGTCGTTTTGGGTATGTGATTTTTTATTTTATTTTATGTTTTTTTTTTAAGAAAGAAATGGCATTGGACCTTTAAAAGTACCTCATTGGCAAAGTTTGCCGTTAATAAAATAAAAAATAAAAAACTTGGACAAATTACCAAAAAAATAGTTTAATCCTAGTAATAAAATAAATTTTGAGGTTTAAATTTGCTTTCAATTTGTTTTAATTTAAATTATATGTCTATTTTTAGTAAATAAAACCAACATAAAAATATATTTTAGCCATTAAACTCGAGAGTGATTTTTCAAAAAGTCCTATTCCTAATTTTTTTTTTTATCATAAGTCCTATTCCTAATTGTTATATTTCATTTAATCCATCTTTTTTTTTTAATATTTCATTAGATTATGTTTAGAATAATATGACCAAATCACCCTTCCAACTTTTTGTGTATGTTTACATTCTGAAATTAATACATAATAAAAAAAATAACAATAGTCCCTCATTTCATGGAGAAAATCTCTCATTATTTCAGGGAATCTCTACATTTTAGGAATAAGATCTTTCCCTTATTCCATAAAAAAAAAAATTCCTCATTCTATGGAGAAAATCTCGCATTTATTCCATAGAAAAAATTTCTCACATTATTAAAACCATAAATCTTCTACCTTTTGAAAATCTCTCACTAAATATTAATATAAACTTTCATATTACAAATGCATGCTGGTAAATAATACTCCCTCATAGAACCATACATTGTGAACATTCACATTGTTTATGCTAGTGCATGACTATTTTTTAATGTGAATATTAACATTAATTGTGATTTGTTGTGAGTAATACATAGTTTATGTTGTCATGTTATTTTGGTGTTATAAAGGCTTTGTATTGTTGGTAATTGTTTGTTATTGTGTGTATATAACCATGTTGACTTGAACACTCACATCTCTATGTTATATTACTAAGATGCACAGTATGTTCTGACTAAAATATCACATTGTTATTTATGCTTATATGACTATTTCTAAATGTAAATATTAACATTGATTAAAAATGTGATAATCACAATACCAATGCGAACTTTCACACCATGTAATAATCGTGTAAAAATCATGAAAACTCATACAATAATCAGTAATATGTGAATGCGAACATTTATATTATGCAACAATCATAGAATCATCAGTTTACATTGCACATCATTCAACCATCACATGTTTCTAATGTTGAAGTTCACATCACCAAATTCAAAACATTAAAATCTAATAATGCACAATAACAATGACTTTAGTGGATGTACAAGTTCACATTCATAAAAATACCTAATTAATATACATATACATGAATATATAATACCATATCAATCCATTTCGAAACAAAAAATCAAATCTAACTTTAATAAATTATTAAACAATTATGAACATACATCCTTACCAACACATACCTATATGTAGTTGTAAAACAAAAACGGTGTTAACCTTGCCCCTACGATATCTGAATGGAAGAAAATAGAGTTTCGAACTGCAATAATAGAAAAACACAGAGTTTTGAACTGTAACAATGAAAGAACACAGAGTTTCGAACTGCAACAATAGAAAAATGATGACGACGACGATGACGATGATGATGATGATGATGAGCTTCTTTCTGGGTTTCTTCTATTTTGTTTCTTTTTTTTGATGAACATCACCCAATTCATCTCTCTGAGTTTTTGTTGTTTTGTGATTTTTCCCAATTCTCAAATAGGCAAATTAGAAAGAGAATTCCACGATCTAAACCCGCCCCTATAGGTTTAGTGTCGTAACCAGCCAGTAATTCTAGGATTACCCAAGGCCTTTGAACAGATTAATCATTAGTTAAAGGGCTGCGGAAGCAAATACATAAAATATACGCAGTCCATTGAGTTGTGCTAACATACATGAGACAGAGATATAAAACTTATAGGCATAATATCAAACATCTCATACATTAAGCCTTATCATACAAATAGTGTCTTAAGGGACTTAGCCCAATACACAGATAGACAAAAACAAAACAAAAACATCTTTTATATGATTCGCAAAACTTGACTTTTCAGATGGGAACCTCCCTGGGAGGCACAGTGGCTTGCTGACCCAAACTCTCCAGGCAACTACTTAGACTTGGTCACACGTATGCTCACATACATACGTAATATAAACAGTGAGCGAAAACCCAATGAATAATAACAGAGTAAAGGGATTACATGAATAATGTCATATAACTAAATCGATACACAAAAACAGATTCATATTCATATATCAGAATACGTGCTTGTTCATACATGGTGCATCCGTTAACACAGATCACATACAGAGCAACAAAGATCATACTTGTTAGTTCCATGAAGGAACTTCCAGTCGGGTACAGATAACTTTTCAGTAGGGATGAGCAGCGGATATACCGATCCGCCAAAACCGACTAAACCGAACCGATCCGTCGCATTTTGGAGGGATGCGTGATGACGAGCGGACGGTTACGAATTGATTTTCTCTAATCTGCCAATTTGGCAGACAGATGGCGGATTTGAGATTCCTTTGGCCGCAACCGAACCACCAAACTGCGAGCATCCCTAGTAATTTATAAGACCTTGTGTTTTCAGTTTGTTTAAATATTTTGTTTGTGTTTTCAATTAAAAAAGAGTTTAAATATTCTGTTGAAAAAAAGTTTTCAACTTGAATATCTTTTTTGAATTGAAAAAAATAAACGTATTATTTATCTATATTTTTTGGTTTTTAAATCTATTTCTAAAAATAATAAATAGAAAATATGATATATGCTAGTTGATTTTTGTTTTCAAAAACAGATATAGATGTAATAATACAGAGACATACAATCTTTACTACTGCTCTGTTCATGTTTTGGTGGTTTGAATTGTTTTTATATTTTAAGAACTACAAATTGTAATACTTTATGTGGATGAGACATGCTGTGATTGTAGTATGTGGATGAGACATGCAGTGATTGTGATATTCTAAAGTTTCAAACTGTATTTGAATATGCATGCACACAGCACACTGTTGAATATTATGCATGCATTTTTTTTTTTTTTTTTTTTTTTGAGGAAGTGCACATGTTGAATTATGTTGAAAATTTATAAAATTTTAAACAACCAAACTGATTCGCATCCATCCGCCAAACCGCCAATCCGCTCAATCCACATCCGCCGAATTGGCAGACGGATGCAAATTGATTTTCTCCAATCCGCCAATCTGGCAGACGGATGACGGATTGGAGGTTCCGTGGCCGCAACTGACCTGTGCCCACCCCTACTTTTTAGTTCCTCAAAGGAACCTCTAGACCGGGAACAAATAACTTGTTAGTTCCATAAAGGAACCTCTAGCCGGGTACAGAAAACTTGTCAATTTCATAATGGAACCTCCAAACTAGGAATAGATAACATACTTTTGCCACGAATATTTGTCAGAAATCAGATTGTCATTCATTATACAGAACATAACATTTCATAGAACAGATCTTATTTCATCATACATAAAATAAATAAAGTTGAACTTAGCTTTACTAAGTTATTACTCACAGATGGTTCCAAGTAGACCACAGAGCAGACAGATCAGACAATTTGCGGCGCGTAACCTACAGAGATACAGAACGAATACGTATTGAATTACACAATCATTAGCTTAGTTCTTTCTTATTTTGGTGTGTTTCTACTTTCTATCCTCATTACTATGTCTGAATCTTGGCCTAGGAATACCTAGGATGCAATGAGGATGCCACAATGCACTTGAAAACACTTAACAAAACTTGCTGAAAACAGGGGTCTTGCTCAAGCACAACTTCCTTCGCTCGAGCAGACATGCAAAATGTAAGTAGCCGCTCGAGCACAACTTCTGTCGCTCAAGCGGTCTGTAAACTTTGCAAAAGTACTGGTTGCTTGATTTTTTTTTTCCTTCCCGCTCGACGCTCGCTCGAGCGTGAGACTAAGGTCCTCGCTCAAGAGCAACTATTGTCGCTCGAACGGTTTGCAAAAATTACAAACTTCTGAGAGCATGCATTTTACACTTGAGCCAACTTTTGGTCGCTCAAGCGGAGAGTGCAAATTCTGAAACTTCCAAATTGCACTTCAAAGTCCAAAACTCGAATTCAATGCCTTCAAACTCAACCTTTGGGCTCCAAAACTTGAGAAAACATGTCTAAACTTGGAAAACATGGAGAATGAAAGATCATTTCATGAAATCAAGGTCCAAAAACTTACCAATTGCTCAAAAGTCAACTCAAAACTTTGAAAACATATCATATATACAATGGAGTGAGTTCAAAGCTTCTAAATCATCATCAAAGAAGGCAAATTGATGGAAAACATGGTGAATTCTCAAAACCATGGTAGACTTGGTGCATGCATATGAGAAATCTTAGCAGTTAAGCTTAAAATGGAAGAAAATGTGCATGCATGCATGCATGATGT